TAAACGGGCAGTCGGACATCCCCTAAGGGGTCCCAGATTGGAGAGGGTGCAGGCTGGGCTGAGGGACCACCCCCCTCCCCCCCAGTGCACGAATTCCATACACTGGGCCTCTAGTGTTATCATAGATGCAAAACGACAGATAGGCTCAGTTAAAGTAAAGGTTGACCTTGTCAGTGAAGATACTGGCCTAGGATATAACTACCCACCATAACTGCTTTTAGTAAAAGTTTAATTTCAGACCACCCTTTTTGGTTACTTTAGGTCTCTGTGTTAGCAAGACCACCACACAGGCCTTCCCTGAGCTAGTCAGGTTAGTATGTGGCTCCTTTTCGTCTACACTAGTGGTTCTCAACCTGTGGGTCGCGACCCCTTTGGCGGTTGAAGGACCCTTTCCCAGGGGTCGCCTAAGACCATCCTGCATATCAGATATTTACATTATGATTCATAACAGTAGCAACATTACAGTTATGAAGTAGCAACGAAAATAATTTTATGGTTGGGTCACAACATGTGGAACTGTAGTTAAAGGGCCAGAAGGCTGAGAACCACTGATCTAGGTAAAATGGAAATGCATCCTCACACATTTCTCTGAGAATCATTCCTGAAACCACGGGCGGGGACTGCGGTGTGAAACGTTCACCATAATGACTGTGATCTGCACGGGCTCAACACCCATGGAAGACGCTCCGGGACCAGGACCGTTCGTTCTCTGCGTTTTACCTTTGATCGAAGGTAGCACTTTTTTTTGGTTAAGTGTTAAGATTAGGTGCATCGATTTGGTGAGTGTATGAAAACAGTGCTGTTTCTGTAAAATGTATATTAAAGAAGAGAGAAGACGTAGAAGAGATAACAAACCTGAAGCATGTGGCCTGATACCAGCACCCCAGCAGGACCTGAGGGATGGGAGAGCCATGTGCCCGTGGACGCAGATACGTGACACGGGATAGGCCCCCCACTGACCCCAAGGACCGTGGTGGTGGAACGGTTACTATTGAAGTCACCGAGGCCCGAGTTAGTTTGTGCCACAGCCTATGGTGACCATTGTTAAAGGAAACAGAAACCTGGGTGTTAGCGTCAGAAAACATTCAAACCTGTGAAGACATTTTGTGAGTTTATTTGAGCCAAACTGTCGACAATTGCCGGGAAGCAGAATCTCAACAGATTGGGAGAATGCTTCGGAGAATGGCGTTTTTTCACCCCGTTTCGTACATTGTATTCAGAGGAGGGGACGTAGGTGGGTCACGTGAAATCCATGGGTGGTAGACTAGGGAGGCGGGAGCAAGCCAAGGGGGAAACCTCTGGGATTGGATAAAAAGTAAAATGATGAACACATACTTAGGTGGGTGCAGGATCAATTCACATGATAAATGAAGGAATCTGCTGCATCTGTCCTGGGCCCAGCACACCTGGCTGTGCCCCAGGGGTTCCATAAAAAGAGAAGTCACAAGTTACCCAGATATCCCAAGGATATGTTATCTTAGATGCAAAAAGACAGATAGGCTCAGTTACGGTAAAGTGGACCTTGTCAGTGAAGATACGGGCCTAGGGTGTAACTGCTCACCATAACTGCTTTCAGTTTCAGTTTAATTTCAGACCATCTTTTGTGGTTATTTTAGGTCTCTGAGTCTGCTAGGCTGCCACGCAGGCCTTCCCTGAGCTTGTCAGGTCAGCGTGTGGCCCCTTTCGTCCACAAAAGTGATCCTCCTGATAATTCACGTACTCAGCTGACACCATACCTAATTATTACAATACTATCGACTATAGTTTCTATGCTGTACTTTACATCCCCAGGACTTTTTTTCAGAGTTACTTTTAGAATAAACATTTGAGAAGGGGTAAGTCCCTTACACTCATTGTGGTAAGAAAAGAATCTTGATTTTAATTGCCAGATTCTTAAATTACTATATTCTATACATATCAGAGCTACTCAAAATTAATGTACACTTATTATTAAAATCAGGCTCTCAAATGGCAATTTGAAAACTAGATCTGTCTATGTACCTAGCCTATGCATATAATATAGCAGAACAGATTATCTCTGAATCATGAATTTTACCTTCCATGTTTTCTTGGCCTCTTTAAGTAAATCTTTATGGCAGTAGACAAGCTTATGTTATAGCTTATGTCTGCTTTGAAATTTATCTCCTACATATACATACCTTTCTTATAAGACAGGTCTATTAGACATTATAAGTCACATATATAGGGTGTCCCCCAAAATGTATATACACTTTAACTCACTTAATTTTTACTCTTTTTTGGGTTAAACTGATTTGAAATAATGGGTGAAACCAGACTAAGATTTGAACAACAAAAAATTTATCCTAAGTGCCACTGGACTTTTTTTTTATGGGAATACATTAAAGTTTATGGTTAAAAAAACAACAACAGCAGCAACATCAACTAATTGAGGGCACACAAATAAAAGGAAATGATTCTTAATGTTTTCGATTCCATTGCTTCGCATTATCAGCCGTGCCTGGATCAGAATGGTCATCAGTTTGAAAACAGACATGAGGGGGAAAAAAACAATTCATTTCTGTAGATTCTTTTAAATTTTGAAAATGAACTGTATGCTAATAAACACTGACTTTATAATCATTCAAAGTGTGTATACATTTTTGGGGGGATACACTGTACTTAAGAATGCAGAGTCAGAAAATATCTGTAAACTCTTCCTTCAATGTAATTTGATGTTTTATGTTGATGTTTAAAATCCAATCTGTTTATTTGTGGATTTAGAGTTTTGTCTGAAGTGTTCCGTTTTATGTGTTTTTAAGGCTCCACACTGTTCAATGTCTTCAGAGGAGTTTTGGAGGTGTTGATTGGTGTGGCAGCTGGATTCCTTCTTGGATTTTTCATTAAGTACTTTCCAAGCAGTGACCAGGTAAAAGCAATAATCTGCAAGAAAGCCATGCTCTAAAGTATCATTGGGAAAACATTATGGAGCACTTCCTTCAAAGCTGGTGTGAAGGGCGGGACTTAGAAAATGCCCCCCATTTCATACTGCTTGTTGCTCTCACAGTGCTGTCCATGAGCTTTATAAAGAGGACTAAATGCATGAGATTTGAATGCAGTCCTGAAAGTTTTTCTCAACTTTTATTCTGTACATTTTAAGTTTCACTGTAAGACAAATAACAATTCCAAAACAATATGATATGCAAGTTTTTAATTTTTTAAAATTCATTTATTTTAACTTTATTTCTATTTGTGTCTATTTGTTTTTACTTATCATTCATAATACTCAACTAAATTAAGATATAAAATGGCTGTTTGAGACCCCTTTTAGTATCAAAATACCTTAGATTCTAATACTATCTAATATACCTTAATGTTTCATTACAATATAGTCCAATATTTCTTACCAAGGAAATCAAAGTTCTTTATGGTTCACAATGATTTCTTAATGATTACTGTCCTAAGTTCCTTAGGGTAAATAAATTTTAAAAAATTTTTCTCTATATGAATTGGCATTTTGAAGATTTCAAAGTATTCTGAATGGGATTAGAAACAACTAAAGTAGAAATTTAAGTAAGAAAATTATATTTGAATTTATATTGTACTCCACAAAACTCCTAGTAAAATTGTTTTGTAACAGGCCATTGTAAAAACTTTATAAGAGATTTTTTTGAATGCAAAAAGAAAATGACAGGATTTTTCTGATTACACAACAAAATAAAAATGTGTGTAAAATTGTGCATAAAATGATATGGTAAGTTCAATAAAGTGCCACTCTGTTCCATATGGCAGCCACTAGCTACATGTGGCTGAGGCAGATATAGACACTTCCATAGACAGTGCAGATACAGACATTTCCATCACCACTGACCGTTCTATTAGGAAGCTCTGATCTAGTGCAGTCCACTGGTAACCTATGATGTGAGTACTATTCATACAACCATTTTACTGATAAGGAAATCAAAGCTTAGGGAGAAGTGACTTGAACAAGGTCACATAGCTAGACTGCAGTGCAATAGGGAGTTAACTTAGTTATTTCACCTCCAGAGCCTGCATGCGTCCAAGTCAAGCATTCTTAAAGACCCTCCTGCCTTCTAATGTTATCAAGAAGTTTTAAAGGCTGAACAGCAAAAAGTAAAGGGAAAGAGAGGTACACATTTCTTAGACTTTAAAAATCAACAACAAAAGTAAATAAACAAAAATAAAATTCAACAACAACAAAACACAGCACAATCTATAGCCTCTTAAAGCTTCCTGGTATTTAGAAAAACCAGGAGAGCATCACATTAAAGAATAAACAGAGAATATCTATAATAAAAATGATAGATATGTCATATCTTTATTCTTTACAAAATGCTCATGATGTATGTAACTAAGTCTTAAAGGTGACAAAATCAGGAATATGAAATAATGGAGCTAATCAACCTTTTTTCCCCTCCAGAGCGAACTCGTATGGAAGAGAGCCTTCCTTGTCCTGGGGCTCTCTGTGCTAGCGGTGTTCAGCAGCACGTACTTGGGTTTCCCTGGGTCCGGAGGACTCTGCACATTGGTCATGGCTTTCCTTGCAGGCCTGGGATGGGCCAGCAAAAAGGTGCATTTCATTCTGTTCTTCTTGTAACTACTTAGTGACTAGATTAATTTTTCTTTCCAGATGCTTTCTTAACGTCAGGTTAATAAAATTATTTTAGCATAAAAGCTATTTTCTATGCAGAGATAAGTGTATGCCCAAATGTACACACACACATTCCTTTTTCCTGTTACATACTAGTCTATAACTTGAAGTAAATCTTGGTCACAGTCCCCTGATGCCTTCCTTATTCTTTGTAAGGGCTGCAGAGTATACTTCAGTAAAGTATATAAACCAGTCTTCTACTCACAGACGTTTAGATTGCTTCCTGTTTTCTGCTAAACAACAAAAAAATATCCTTATATGTACTATATTTTATAAACTCTAAGACACTAGCAAGTCTAAGAAGAAAGAAAAAGAATGTTAAAGTTAAACTCTGACAGGACATCCTAATTTCAGAAATGTTTAAATGTGAGGAAATGTGTATCTTTAAATCAACAAAACATATCTTTGAGTTAATCTACAGGGTAATTTCCAGAAATAAGACTGCTCTATGAAAGAGGAGACACATTGATATTTTTTTTAATTTTACTTTTCAATTACAATTTAAGTATGTGTTATTTTGTGCTAGTTTCAAGTATACAGCATAGTGATTAGATAATCATATACTTTACAAAGTATTCCCTGCTGGGGTCCAACCCCAGCAGGTCCAGGGGTCCCCAAAGGTGTGGACGGAGTCGGCGAAGAAGGAATGACATGGAGACAGCGTTCAGTTGATCAGCAGCCTTGCCAGGATCTCTAGCCACAATATCCAGCCAAGTTCTGTGTCCATATTCTCTTGCTAGGTTCTCCAGCCACGATCTCCAGGTTCTCCAGGCAGGTTGTGTAATTTCTATTCCAAAGGTTAGGGCGTTTCTTATCTCCATTCCAGGGAGTAAAGGTTATGTAGCGTAAGCATGATTGTTCGTAGTTAAAGTGATTAATTTTCTGCTGGGGAAGGGGTTAATAGGTTTTATTCCCTCCCTAACTTCAGGGGAAAATCCCTACCTGGGGAAACAACCTTTCTCAGAGAGGTGACCTTGGTTAAAACACATAGTGCCAAGAAGGTGAGCAAACATATTAAGAACAGTATGCCATATATGCCAGGTCCCTTGAAACAGCAAGGATGGACCGGCTCCCAGCAATTCCCCTCAATATTCCCTGTACCCACCTGACACGGTGCATGATTATTACAACATTATTGACTGCCATTTTGATAGTATCAATTTACTCTTTTTTTTTCAATTTACTCTTTTATTAAGGCTGTACCATACTGTTAGGTAAAAAGTAGTATCTTGTTTTCTGTTTCTTTGATTAGCAGTAAAATTGAATACTTTTTCATATATTTAATCACTTGTATTTTTTTCTTTTCTTTGATATATCTTTTGTCCAGTTTCTTCTGAAATCTAATGCATTGATTATTGATCTGTAAGATATACTAGTATACATGCATATATATGATATTAGCCTTTTTATATAGTTCATTTTTAACATACAAATGACATTTTTATGTAGTGAGATCTATGAGTCTCTTAGGACCTTTCCTCAATAGCTTTTTTTCTTAAAAATCTCTTTATTATGCGGGTAAAATCTTACATAAGTCATCGCAAATATATTTTACAATAGCCTTGACAAATATATATTCAACCCACTTTACAGATGAGGACAATGAAGGCTTAGAGATATTAGATTGTCCAGGGTCACAAAGGTAGTACGTAGCAGAGCCAGGATGAGAACACACCTTGAGACTACAGAGGGTCCCTGACTCACAGTGGTTCAACTTGGGATTTTTTTACTTTACGATGATGATACACATTCAGTAGAAACTCTAGGTGCAGTTTTGAATTTTGATCTTTACCTGGGCCAGCGATATGCAGTCCGATACCAGATATTTTTCCTGATACTGGGCAGTGGCAGTGAGCCTCAGCTCCCAATCAGGCACGGGATCATGAGTAAACCACCAATACGCCAGAGTACTGTGTTGCCAGCATTTTTTGGATATTGTGTGCTATGTTTTTGTATCCCATCTTGTCAACAAAATGCCCACCTGTGGCTCTTGCTTCTGGTGAGAAGAAGTGAAAGACAATTACTCTTAAGGAGAAACTAAAGATAATTGCTTACCTATAGGCTAACGTAAGAGTCCTGAGCACATTTAAGGCAGGCTAGGCTAAGAAGCTATGATGTTTAGTAAGTTAAGTGCATTAAATGTATTTTCAACTTCGATGGATATATTGGGACATAATCTCATCATAAATCAAGGAGTGTCTGTGTATCAATATGATTCCCTGAAGAAAGGAAAGGAAACAAATCTTCATTGAACAATCATGTGGCAGGCACTCTGCATAGCTTTTGTAGTTCAGTACTCAGGAGAGTTCTTACTTCTGGAGACACCCGTTCAATGCATCCAGATTTTGGACTTCTTTCCTCCCTCGGTCTGGAAAATAGCATAAGGTCAAGAACTCTGACTGCGTGAGCGAATCTCATCTGGACAGTCTTGTACCTATATTATCACATACGAGTAATCTTACTCCTCAGTCCTCAATTTCTGTATCTCTGAAGTGGGGAAGGACAATAGCAACAACTCTTACACTGGAGGACTAAGTGAAATAACCTCTATAAAACAGAGTGCTTAGTCATAGAATGCACTCAGTAAATAATAGCCCAGATTATTTTTATACCTACTTCCAGAGCAGCGCAGCATAGTAAAAAGAGCATGAAACTTAAAATATGGAGATTGGGATTCCAATCCCAGTTCTACTATTCTCTACCTGTGAATCCCCCAAAAACATCACTTCCTTCTCTAACACTCAGTTTTCTTAACTGTAAAGGGGAGAAAATAACAATATCTAAAGAATTGTTGGGACTATTATGTGGGAAAATGGAAATGGAACACTTGTAAACTCAACAGTTCTATAGCAATATTGTTGGCTTGTGTTTTGAAAAACTAAAATATTTTATAAAATTTCATTTATGCCTATAGTTTTCATTTATGCCTACAGTCTACCCTCCAAATGTCTAAGAAATTCACTGTCTGTGGTACATGGGAAGGTGTATTGCTCAAGGGAGTTGACTATGAAATCACCCAGGAGTAGGCTGGGGGAGGCTGCTGGCCACCGGGCACTGTAGGATCCTGGCCCTGGAGAAACCAGCTGGTCTGCAGGAGCCTGGTGCTGTAGGATTCTGCTGCAGGAGCCACTGAAACCAGGAAGGGCACCTTCCTCTGGCAGTATCTCTTTAGCGCCCTCTACTGACAAAATTTAACATGGTGCTAGCTAGCAAAGGAGAAATATTTTAAAGAGCAAAAGATGGGACTCCATTTTCCGCAGAGCAACAGAGAAAGGGGGCAAGGGACAATAAATTAATAACTGGAACAGCCTTTTACATGTAGACTTTATTTTTGTGCATAATTTGAAATGTCCTTAAAAGGTATTTTCTTGTAAAGATAAAATAAAATTGGAAATAAGTTAGAGGTCCATCAATAAAGAAATAATTCAATAAACTGTGGTACTTCCATACCAGATTCCTATGTAGCAATAATGAGGTACCTGGGTATATGTGCTAATATGAAACCTAAATCATATTGTTAAATTAAAATGAACATAAAATTTTAAACTATGAAAGAAAAATATTATAGTATGCGAACACACACATACCATGCATTCAGAAGTAGTTCTCCTAAGATTACTTTATAAGACTATTTATAATTAAGATCTATCTGCAAAGCAACATTAAATACCTCATATCATAACTGTGTTATAAATATATGCAATTTTTGCTCTGTTCTAGCTAACCTCTTCATTTATAGATATCACAGAAATAAAGCCTATCTCAGCTCAAATAGACTCAAATTTTATATTAGTAAAATTCTTAGAACTTGTAACTTTATATAATAAAAATTCATATGTATGTTTGTTTTCTTAGGCAGAGGTTCAAAAAATTATTGCAGTTGCCTGGAACATTTTTCAGCCCCTTCTCTTTGGTCTGATTGGAGCAGAGGTATCTGTTTCATCTCTCAGGCCAGAAACTGTAGGTAAGAATTTCAAAGTAGTACTTTGGCTAAAATCAACTTTTTATATTCAGTTGAAATACCTTTAGTAGGTATACGTTCAGTAGTTCCCATTGTCACATATTTAATAATTGTTTAAAAGTAGTTGGTTAGTAGGGGGTAACATGGGAATAAGGACACATATGTAATAAATAAATAAATAAATAAATAAATAAGTAGTTGGTTAGAAAATAATGTTCATCAGCCCTAGGTGGTGCTCAGTGGTGAGAGCGCTGACCTTCAGGTTGCAAGTTCAGTTCTGGTCAAGGGCATGTACCTTGGTTGCAGGATTAAACCCCGACCCTGGTCGGGTATGTGTGGGAAGCAACCAAACAATGTGTCTCTCTCACATTGGTGTTTCTCTCTCTAAAAATCTATAGAGAATATACCCTCAGGTAAAGTTTAATAAAGAGAAAATAATGTTCATCAGTCTAAGATAGTAAACTAAATATCTTTACAATTATTCCTTGTAAATAAAAGTAACACTGCTTACTACTTTCAAAAAATGCAGGCCTTAAAATATTTTTTTCTATTAAGAGTGTTCATCTAGCCTTGTTCTGATCAAGGGCCAGAATTTTAAAGACAACTAGTCAGTTCTATAATATGTACCCATGGAATGGAAATGTTTGTGCATTCATTTTCTTTTATTTATTTAAGCATTTAAAAGCCACCATATTAAAACTCTCTGATTCATAGCATCGTATTTGAAGTTAATTTGCACATATACGGTGTATTCTCTGTATTTCCTCCTTTCCTCGCATCACAATATGCTCCCTGCATCCTAGGGATCCCATCCCTGCCACCTCCTTCTGGATCTCACACATAGATTCTTCTCATACATCTTTGAATGGATTTGTCATGTGCATACTTGTCAGTTTCTCCTCTTCAGAATTTAAACAGAGTCTAAGCTCTCTTATCTTAAAATAATATTCTTTCATTCTAATACATGCTGCAACATGGGTGAACATAGATGAGGACAGTATACTATTTGAAATAAGCCAGTTATAAAAAGACACAGGCTGTATGATTTCACTTATATGAGGTATCAAATATAGTCAAATCATAGAGACAGAAAGTAAATGAGGTTGCCAGGGTTTTAGGGGAAGAGGTCTAGTGATTAGTTGCATAAAAATGTGAATGTTTAATACTACATAGCTGTATACTTAAAAATGGTTAAGATGGCCCTAGCTGGTTTGGCTCAGTGGATAGAGCATCAGCCTGCAGAGTGAAGGGTCCCTGGTTCAATTCCCCTCAAAGACACATGCCTGGATTGTGGGCTTGGTCCCCAGTAGGGTGTGTGCAGAAGGAAAAGTATTCCCTTCAGAATTCCAGTGTTTTGTGTCACTTCTTGTGC